GGTAATTGTAGGTAACGGAAGGTGCAATTGCGCAAACATGAATATGACGCGCGTATATCGTATTTATACGTGTCGTGTCGCGTAAAGCTACTGGCACGATGAATCTTATATACATATATAAAAATATATAATATATAAATATAAAATATATAATAAAATAAATTTATAAAAGCGATCCTCGATGGAATCTCTTCGGTAAAAACAGATTTAGTTGGACATCGCTCTCTCTTTTTATCTCCGTCCTAAAAATTCGTGCGTTTCAAAATGACGCATCCTGCATACATGTAAATACATGCGTAAATAACTATGTAAATAACGTGCACGTGAGCCGGCGTACAAATTAAACGCTGAAATTAACGCTGCTATTGCGAGCACGTTACACGCGAATTTAAATGAGGCCACCTGGTAAAAGTCCGATTTCGCACGTACCTCGCGTTTAACTATCGCGGTTTGCGAAGATTAGAGAAATTAAATGAATTATACATATTAAATTAGCGAAGTAAAGCAAATGTGATATAAGAAACGAAATGGTGGTAAATAAAGATATGATTCAGTAATCGCGAGAAAGTCAGTAATATTCAATTGTGGTAAACTTACTGGCAATTAATTAAAATAAAAAATGAGGAAAATGGCAAATTATTATAAAGAAAAGTCAATTTTTTTATACATATATTTAAATAGATATTTTTTTTTTCCTATAAAAATTATATATGCGCGTAATTAATTTAGCCCGCAGCCTGAAATCCAGTTACATTTTTCGAGTAAACGAGAGATTTTGTTTTCTCATCCGCGCGATGTGACAACATTTTGGAGTGGAATTTGCATAAAGTAAGCGAACGTTTAAGATTTACCTGTTGCCAGCAACACGCGATACTCGACTGTTCTGTAAACACCAATCTACGTCTGTGTAATTATTATTCCTGTAACGGGATCAGCTCGCAACGTGTATTAAATACGCCAGATGCAAACTGTGAGCGAGGCGAAATTTGAATTAATAAAAACTTTTCTCGAGATTTTTCCGAGGCTCCGGGAGACTATCGCGTGATCGCTTATTTCTATTTCTATAGGAGAATCGCCTATCCTAGAAACGACACAATGTACTTTAAAAGGCGACTAATTCATTTTTCTCTCATTACTCTACGGGATAAATCTCTCTGTTACAGTAAATCTAGCTTGAAACTTGTAGTCACTAAAAAATAATCACTTTTAGAAGGCAATAGTGTGATCACATATCTTCTGACTATTTCCGTATCGTAATATTAAATATACAAATATACAAATAAAAATTTTCAAGAAACAATCTGATTACACTACTAATGAGTAAGAATATGAAATTATCGAACATGATATATTCTGATGCATTCCGAATTGATGCATTCCACAAATGTTTAAATCTAGATGCCATCTCATTGTGTAACATAAATTGAATAGCCGAGTCGTGTACGTATTTAACAAAATATTTTCAACTTGAAGGGAAAAAAATCTTCGGAACTCACGTGTATCAAGTTTTACTTTAATTTAATTTGTCATATCAGCTGTCACTTTTTGTAAAACTCGATTTTACTTACTAATGGAGAAAAAAATAGGAGGTGTGTTTTAAAGTGCCGTGTTCAATGATCGAATTTTTGTGCTGGTCGACTCACCAAATTGTCCGGGTGCAGGTGATGGCCGTAATCCCTGGGGTTACCTCGCGAGCCACCTGGGGAACTGTGCCTGCGACCCCGTCCATTTTCGATCTCGTCATCGTAATCCTGGAAAAAAGGACACAATCGTGTTTCATTCTGATTGATCGCGAGAAAGCGGTCGATGTCTTTTTTCTCTTTTCTTTCTTTCTTTTTCTTTTTTTTTTTTTTCTTTTACAACAATACCAGTGACACAAATTTTCGTTGGGGATAAAAAATCGCGATTTCCGTTAGCGGCTTGGCTTTCTAGGTGTATCCCTTCGAACCCTTTCATCCGTACAGTGTTCCTGTCGTAACTCCTTTTACGTACGCAAGTCCCGTATAATTCTTAATAATTCGTATAAATCAAAATTAAAATTAAGTGAGAGAGAGAGAGAGAGAGATCGATGTGCTTAAAATCAAGATTTAAATTAAACAAAATTTAATAGAGAGAGATTTTGCTGCTTTGTGTGCATTAAGTAGTAAACTTTTTAAAAAAAATTCAGGCGACACTATCTTTGAACTATACTTTAAATATCTGTCCTAAATTTACGTAATTTATTAAATTTAATTAAATTAATTCTTAGAATTTAAATATATTTCGTGAATTGAATTCAACTTTAATTTAATCGATCGCAAAAGGCTTTGCGCGTTCCGAAGGATCACCGCAACGCGACGGCTCGAAAAGGATACGCCCGCAGTACCTGATTGTCGCACTCGTCATCGTTGGAGAGGGCGAGGTCGGAGGTCGTCACTTGGTGCTGCTGCGCCCTCCTGCAGCCCACTCTGCAATTGGCAAAATTTCCATTTCAGAACCACCCCACCCCGCTCCGCGACCGCTCTTCTTATTAGTCCTATCATCGGTCCTGTCATCGGCGACGATTCGTCAGGCGGAGATTAATCCGATCCCGATCGGAAACAAAGGGGAGGTGATCGAGCGGAAGTCTGGCGAAGTCTACGAGATTTTGCGAATTTTTCAAGCTGATTTGACAACTGCGAGCGCCGAAAGCTGACGGCTAATTTCGAAAAGCGCCTCGTCTTCGATTCATTCGACGGCCTTGCTCCGAGAAGATATCAGACGGAAGTGATTCCATTACGTATCGACCTACCCTTCGTCTCTAATAGGTTTACTAACTGTATTTCTAATAAAAGCAAACACTATGGCAGACGACTTACTGCTTCGGTAAGCGCAGCTCCAGAGATCACGCAGTTCTATTTTCGAAGTGTAATTCAAAACTAATGAGACATTCAGGAATTTCCTATGTTCGAATTAATATATCATAATTATGTAACTCTAGTGAAATCTAAATCTCCTAAATAATGTTTTGTTTAATATATTTTTTTAAATGTATTTTCGACATATTCGAGGAGTTTTGGTAACACGAAAAGAACAATTTTACTAAAATATCTAAAACCAGATGGCCAGATGAAAATAATTAGAGTGATCAAAGTAATTATGTAGGATATTCAAATTGCTAAAATATCAAAAATGTTACTTCATATTTAATCTACAGAATTATTGTGATGGTCCAATAAAATTATTTTGATCTACATCTGGTCAGATTTTTAAATATAGCAA